TGGTGCATAAGCAAGGGACCTGCAGACTGTTTTCTCTCTGGAAAGGCCATGCCCAGATATATGTTAAAAGCAACAATTTGGGGGGGGGGGAGGGCTGAAGGGACTGCAGGCCTTTGGGCCCCCATTACTCAGCCAGGACCGCAATATGAGGACTAACTCCCAACTGCCCTCTTTCATCGGACCCACAGCTTTTCAAGAAGAGCTTGAGTTCTCTGTGAGTGCGTATTTGCTAATTGCAGCCTCAGCTTTAATGAGATTCAACTCCCTGCAAGCTCGTTTGCAGGTTACAGCCTTATATGGGGACCCACATTTTCTATCGTGGCAACACGTCCTGTGAATAATCGCCTCTCCAGAGCCTGAAAGGAAAGTGAGCGCCCCATTTCTACTGAATGCACGTCTCAGTTCATCCAAGGCTGGCGGGCTTTTGATGGCCACAATGCGAGTTACGCCCAAAGAGTGTCTCTTTGGTCAGATCGACAACGCTTGGCTTCACGTTTGCAAGTTAAACCGGCAAAAACCCAGCTGAAACTCCCACGCCAGACATTTCCCTTCACCCTGCTCAGAGCAGAACTAGGGAGTGGGTCTGGACAGGGGGAGGAAAAAAGGGAGCGGTGGGGAGAGGAAGGGGTGGAGGAGAAAGGAGTCCCGATTCCCAGCAGCCATCTAGAAGGGGGGGGGGCTTTTAATCTGGCATTTCTTTCTTATTTATTTATTTTTTTCATTTTGCTTTGTTGGCAGCTTTCCCCAAACAAAAAAAATAAAACGAGAGCATTTTCTCCTTGTCTTCACCTAGGTAGCTGCTTTCCTCCAGTCCCTGAAAATGTGACTCCTTCATAAAATCAAAATTTATGATTATTCAAATGTTGGGGACTGTGAAAAGAGAGGAAGAAAGAGAGAAAATTAATATTGCAGCTGTTCTTCTGATTAATGAGAGATAATTGCTCATGAAAAGTCACCCCTGTGGCATTTTGTTGTCTCCTGGATCTTTGTTCTTTTCCACTATTATTGAGGACTTTCTTGAAGACTAAGCGGTTCTTTTCAATTTTTGGGTATTCAGAAAGGGTTGCCTGGTTACAGAGAATGGGGAAATCTCGGGCTATATCGGGTAAGATGTGCCACAGACAGCAATATCACAATGCCACTCGGAGAAAAGGATGGATACAAGTTAACGATGCGCTTTCAATAAAACATTCATAGACTTGTTCACGCTTTGATAATGACCTCATTAAAGGGAGCTGGGGGCAAGTAAGTCCTGTCTCCTGTTTGTGTTCGGCTAACAAAACCCAGCTTTGAGATCATTCATCGCTTTGGAAACTAATATGAAATCAATGTAAGAGGAGCAAATAAATCCGAGGCGGCCCCTCCAACTCCTGGGCTGTCCCGCCCTGCTTGCGGCCTCCGTTTGGAGCAGGAGAACCATGCTGGCAAATGCTGACACTGAGAGAAAAAAGGACTGGGGACAGATAGGGGGGAGTTCTTGGAGGGATGCAGAGGAAGGGGCAAAGTGGAAGTTACAGCCCTGATAAAAAAAAAAAACTGCTAAGCACATCAGGTCAGAACTTTTGAGGCCTGTTGAATAAGCAAGGCTAAGTCTCCATCCTTTACTTTCCCTGACTTTGCCCATGAAAAGAGTTAGGAAAAAAGGGAAGTGAGAGGGGAATGTGGGGTTCAAGTCAGGTTCCATTCCAGAGGTAGAAAAAAGTACTGGAAGATCTTTTGAAACCTGCAACCAAAAATTCAAATGTCAAGACTGAGCTAGAAGGAAACCGCTCACCCAAGGTTCCAACTGGAGAGTCCAGAGACAAGAAGGCAGCTGCTGGTGTTCTCTCTAGAACTGCTGATTGTTTTCTCTAAGTTGAGGGTAGGGTGGGGGGGGGGTGCCCTGGGCAGGAGGAGGGGGTAAGAACAATTTTGTTTCCTTCTGGATTATGACAGGACCTTGCAGTCAAGGAAGACAAAGCCATCCTCTATCATCCTGAGCGAAAGGGATAGAATCAAAGGACTTCCCCTCCCCTTAAAAGAACTCATTTTCTCCTTGAGTTATGAAAGTAATGGCTTAGGTAACAGCCTGTACTCTGTACCCAACTGCTTAATTCCGAATAAATCCTTCCACGTGGCTCCCCAAGTCGTGGCAATTAGAGCTCATTATAGGCTCATAAGAGCTCTCATTTTGGGGATTACTTAATGGACAATGAAATTTTATCGGACAGAATCACTGAAAAATAAAATTGTGCAGTGGCAAGCACTGTGGGCACACGCCAAAGGTCTGTCTGACTGAGCATGGGGTCCCCTTCTGCTTTGAGCTGGTTGGGGTGCTGTTCCCTGAAAACAGTCACCTGACCAGGACCGGTGGTAATGCTGTCCAGGACCATGCAGGACAGGCATACTTTAGACTGGCTTCTGAAGATGTGGGCTAGATGGAAGGAAGGAAGGAAGGAAGGAAGGAAGGAAGGAAGGGAGGGAGGGAGGGAGGGAGGGAGGGAGGGAAGAAAGGAAGATGGAGATACTGGGAAATCCAAAGATAACTAGAGAAAAGAAAGAGGATAGAGATTACCCAGGGGATACCAAAGTACTTGCTCTTTGTCATCCAATAAATTAACCAAATACTGTAATGGGTACTGTAATGGGTCCTAGTTTTAGCCTTAGCTTGTTCTGAAGCCCCTAACCCCTTGAGCCCTAAGTAATCTCACAGGTCTCTCACCTTTCTCAAAATTCCTTGGTACTAGAAACTGAATGTTTCCATAGTCAGACATAATTTGAAGGGGATGCTCAAATCTTTTGCATAATAAAGATTTACTAAAATAAAATGGCCTGCACACAAACACAATTTCTAGCACATTAGTAAAGGAGTTCTTTCTGTGAGCACACTCAAAATTCCTGGGAATATTGTGATACAAGTGTCAGCCCCAAACAGACCTTGGATAACCTTCTACCACACCCAAAGGATGAAAAAAAGAGAGCAAAAGCTATTACTTTTAAAGAATCAAGGAGGTGGGTTAGGAGGGGGTGGAGTCACCTACTTGAACAATTCAGGCCATTTAAAAAATACCCTCCCATAAAGCCTCTCTCAATTGTTGAACTCCAAATCTTCCCAAATCTGGGGCTGGAATGATTGTGGAGACTGCCTGGATTCTCCCATCAAAAGCGAGGGTGGGCTGGGGTGAGGCTGGGTGTCTACAAGGGCTGCACTAGCCAACCTTGTGGTACAAAAGTAGTTACAGCTGAGCTGCCCCACGGTAAGCCCTGAGACTCCTTAATTGTTGTCACAAGATGTTGGATTAGCACATTTCTGGAATAGCTGTCTGTTTACACTCTGGAGACCCACCGTCCACTAACCGCTTTCTAATTGAATTCTAATCACATTCAAATAGCTCAATAACCAGCCTCAGCTGCAATTCATAAAACTTTAATTGCCATCCATAAATCCTAGGCTCCCCAGAGCGGGGCGTCCCTACAACCCAATTACACTTCTCCAGCAGGCAAGAAAGACAGTCACGGAGACGGGAAAGGGAAGAAAGACAGGACAGAGATGGTGCTCTCCTGTATTGGGGGCACTTTGTTCTCTCCGATGGAGAGAGTCCTGTCTTTAAGTTTCTTGGCACCTCTGTGAATTCAGGCTTGGAGTCAGCCATTCTGGGGAAAAGACCCAACTTGTAGCTGTTGCTCAGCCTCCCCACTTCAACCTGCTTTTCTATAAAGAAAAAGCTGTCACCACTGCTGTTTCCCCAAAGATCAAGTGTCCCAGTCTTAGTAGCATTTTCTCTCTGGCAGCTGGGGGTGAAGGACCTGCGCCACTGAGAGATTTCCTTTACCAAGCCACTTCTCATGATTAGAGATAGGATTCCTCAGGTGGTACAGTCCCCTCCATTCTTTTTAGAATTTGGGGATGCAGAAGGACAATGCTTCCTGTTAAGACTAGACCATTGTCCAAGAACAATAAAAATGAGAGGAACAAGTGATCACTAGACTCAGAGCAAAGGCCTCCCTCAACCCCTGCCCAGTCTCCGGGAGGGCTGGTGTTTGGTCCTCTTTCCAAAATCTTTGGAATGGAATTTGTAGGGGTTGACCTGGAAATGCAGCAGTATAACTACTTGGAGAAATAAAAAGATGACTCTTCACAACCACCACCCCCTCTCCATCAGGAGATAGTTGCTTAGTAGAAAGTGGCACAAGGAAGGGTCCTTGGTATAAGCGACCCCAGCAGGGCCCTAAGTACAAAGGCTTTTAGATCTTCTAGAATATCAGAACAAGCTTGGCGGCTTCTTAGCTGGGAAGCCTCACTGCTACCACCTGATCCGTCATGAACTAACCACATGAATGACCTTGACCAAGTCCAAAACTGGCTAACAGGGGTAGGTGTGAGCTTGGCCTCAGCTGCCCTCAGGTGTCCTCAGGACCGCTGCCAGTCCTCTGCCTGCACACCCTACTGCAAAGCACAGGCCTCACTCTTCACTTTGGCGTAGTTACGGCTGACACTGAAGAGCCGGGAGCGTTGGGCATCCCTATTAAAACGGTCTTGAAGTCTCCACCTGGTGTGCTCTGCCGCAGGGCGCCGGGAAGAGTTGGGTTGGGGTCCAGGCTAAGGAGAGGGGTAGGGTAGAAGATGAGATGCAGCGCAATGATTTCTCGGAAAAGCATAGAGAAAGAGGGGGAAGGAGGCCGGCCTCCCTGGGAAATTAACAAAACCTACACTTTGCAAAGTCTCCCCCTTCCCCTCCCCCGTGTTCTTTCCTGCCGCGCGCCCGCCCCTCCTCGCCGCTTCTGTTGTGACTCGGGCAGCCTATCCCGAGGGTGGGGAGCTGCTGAGGAGCCTGGGCCGTGCGGTACTCCGCAGCATCACGTGCCAGGGTGGGGGCTATAAAATCCAGGAGCCCGGGAGCCGGGCGGGGGACGTGAGGACCAGCCCTCTCCAGGGACCCCTTTGTTCGCGGCCCAGACGCCGACACCTTCGCGTCCCCAAGGGCTTGACCGCCGGCGTCCACGCTGCTCCGGGGCAGAGCTCAGAACACAAGAGCGGAGGGGGCGCCGCAGCCAGCCGGGCCCTCCAGCCATTCGTCCCTCCCGACATGTCGCGCTCTTTTTATGTCGATTCGCTTATCATCAAGGACTCCTCCCGGCCTGCACCCTCGCTGCCTGAACCTCACCCCGGGCCGGATTTCTTCATCCCGCTGGGCATGCCATCGCCGTTGGTGATGTCGGTGTCGGGGCCCGGCTGCCCGTCCCGCAAAAGCGGTGCTTTCTGCGTGTGCCCGCTCTGCGTCACTTCGCACCTGCACTCCCCTCGCGCGCCCGCAGGCGCTGGTGGCGGGGGCGCAGGGGTTGGGGGTGCAGGGGTCGGGGGCGGCGGCGGGGCGGCAGGGGGCACCGGGGCCCTGCCTCTGCTCAAGAGCCAGTTCTCGTCGGGTCCTGGGGATGCGCAGTTTTGCCCGCGGGTGAGCCACGCGCATCATCACCACCACCCGCCACAGCACCACCATCACCACCACCAGCCCCAGCAGCCAGGCTCCGCTGCTGCAGCGGCTGCGGCGGCCGCGGCCGCTGCGGCCGCAGCTGCTTTGGGGCACCCACAGCATCACGCACCTGTCTGTGCTGCCACCACCTACAACGTGGCGGATCCGCGGAGATTCCACTGCCTCACCATGGGTAGGGCGGGGTCTCTGGGTACCTGCGCGCCGCGCCTTTAGCGCTCCCAGTAGTAAACTTTCCTCCGCCACTGGAGGAAGAGAGACCGGAGAAGGGGAGGGAGGAGGGGCTTTTGGTGTAACTGTGGGGCATCCCCAGAAGTTCTACAAAGGTGCAAGTTAGCTTGCCAAACTCTCCACATATCTGCGGAGAATGCAGAGGTTAATTGGCAGAAGTTTGGGGTGGGTGTGTGGGTGTGTTGAACTGAAGTATGGCATCCCGTGTCCCGGCTAGATAAAGTATTTCAATGCTTTTGGCTGTGCCTGCGACCCTCTCTACTAGGCTCCAAAGGAGACAGCCAGACAAGTGCAAGCTCCCACCCCCTTTAATCCTCTAACTTTGTGTCCTACGCATCTAAGGTCTTGACTGGCTTTGGGCGTATCTTTCCTCCTCCAATAAATAACGACGTGCCACGAAATGGGAAAGAGTGAAGGATCAAAGCAGGTGTTTGGGGTGGGTCCTTGAGAGGCGTCCTTTCCAAGGGATGGCACGTAGGGTGGGAGCACCTCTCCCGAGCCTTACCTCTTTGCCCTCTCTTGGCTGGTCCGCAGGAGGCTCCGACACCAGCCAGGTACCCAATGGCAAGAGGATGAGAACGGCGTTTACCAGCACTCAGCTCCTGGAGCTGGAGCGGGAGTTCTCTTCCAACATGTACCTGTCTCGACTCCGGAGGATCGAAATCGCTACGTACCTGAACCTGTCGGAGAAGCAGGTGAAAATCTGGTTTCAGAACCGCCGGGTGAAGCACAAGAAGGAGGGGAAGGGCGCCCAGAGGAACAGTCACGCGGGCTGCAAGTGCGTCGGTAGCCAAGCTCACTACGCGCGTTCGGAGGACGAGGACTCCTTGTCCCCAGCCTCCGCTAATGAAGACAAGGAGATTTCCCCTTTATGAGGGGGCCTCCCCAACCCTGCCCCTCGCACACCAGCTGCTCCCGTAGCCAACACCTAGGGCATCCCGGGGCCAAAACTCTCGCCCATCGCCCTCGTCCCATCTGGAGAAGGAACTAGTGACTAAGTCATGGGAGTTCAAAGCTGGGCCTAACCCTGCGCATCTCCTTCTTGACCTGTTTGGGAGTTATAGATCATTTATTAAAACAATGTAAATAATCTAGAATTCAACTCAGTCTTATTATATAACAGAAGAAAAACAGGGTTGGTTTACTACTGTAAAGGGTTTTTTGAAAGTGCATGTCATTTCTATGTCCCTGTTTTTCAAAACCTGATAAGAACACAGGTTTCTTCATTATTTTTGTTGTTATTTTAAACTGAAATCAATGAGGTTACCAATAACTTAGAAATTAAACCCTGTAGGTCTTGCTTTCTGAAAATTTGCCTGGGGAGAGTTTCAAATCCATGTTGCTGGAAGTCCCTTCATATGTGAATAGTTTTATATAAAATTTATATTTATATTTATTTAAATAAATGAAACAGAATCAGGGTTTTAAATTTGTGATGTGTGCTCTCCCCATCTTCTCCTACCCACTCCTCCTCTCAAGTCTACAGAAAGGCATGTACAGGAAAAGAAAAAAGAAAACCTATTTGAAATCTTAGAGAAAAAGGTTAACTGAAATTTGATAATGTAGGTCTCTTGGCTTAAGGGAGTATGTGGCTTTATAGGTTTTCTGTGTAACAGAACTTTCTGCCCCAAGAAGACACCTTTAGTTTTGATACCACCTACCAGATGGTCCCCCCATCCTCAAAGTAGGTGATATCTTCACAGTTGTCAGGGGAAAAAAATCACTCCATTTAGAGTGACATTGACAATGACTGAGAGATAAACCTTTTACTTTGCATGGACAAGTAAGATATTCCCTACCTAGTGTGTATTTCATACCACCCTTTACCCCCTGCCTGTCTATTTTATCTCTCTCACAATTAAAACCTGAATTATGTGAAGGCATTCACATAGTCAAGATAGTTCTCTTTTTCAAGATAGTTTTTGAAAAAGTAAGAATTTATCAAACAAGTCTGAAGTGAACAAACAGAAACTTACAAATGATGCTACAAGTGATTAGAAAAGTTAATGCTCTTGGTTGTCTGTCTAACTCAGAAATAAGCTGCTTCCTCTCAATGCTGAGAAAACAATAAGTCAGGGACAGGGAAGTATTCTGTGTAAAGATCTACAATCACACATTTCCAAAACAGCCTGGAAATAAAGAGAAGCAGAAAGTAAATAAATAAAAAGAAAGAGAGAAAAGCACAGCCCAGAAATGTCTTTGGACACTTGCGGGGGTGGGGCACTTCTTGTTGTCTCTGGTCTCTAACTTTAACCCAATCCAGCTCTTTTCTAGTTCCTCTTTTCCCGTGGCTGGAAGAGTTCATTCCTACCGGCCAGAACACTGAGTGTTCAATTCTTCCTTCAGCAGGCAACCTGGTCTCTCCTCAGTGCAGCCTGGGTCTGTAGCTGAGGAAGTGAAGAAGATGGAAGATGCAAACTAGAGGTTCTCAGTCCCACTAACACCCATTAGTGTGATTTCTGGTCGTTTTCTATAAAGATGCCTGCCACCCAATAGGTTCAAGTCACAGGAACTGTTTAACACACACACACACACACACACACACACACCTTCTTTAGGTCTGATTTACTTTAGGCAGGTCCTATTGAAACCTCACCAGGAGCTTCTAGGACTCTAAAGCTGTGGACTTAAGGGAGGAGGAGGAAGGGATAATGCGACCACTCACTGTTTCCTTGAGTGTTCGCCCCCCTACCCCACCCCCCACCACCACCACCACAGTAAGCTCAGGGGAAGGAAAATCCCGTTTTCAGACTCCCATTGAGGCCCTATCCGGGCATGCAGGAGGGAGGAGGGACGGACAGCAGTGCCCTTCCTTCCGAATAAGGAGCCGCGGGCGGCTTTGTGCAGCGAGCTGGGCCTGGCCAGCGCCACGGTCCCAGGCAGCCGGCTTCCTCCGCCCAGAGCCCGGGAGGCTCTGGGTCTCTGGATCCCTGTCCTTCAGTCTCTCGCACGCAGAGCTGCTGGCCCCTGGCCCTGCCCGCCGCCACAGGGAGGAGGCGCTGGCCGGTAGACTTGCTAAAGATCGCGTCTCCCTTCTTCCCAAGAAACAGGCCTCTCCGCGAGCGAGCAAAGAGGAAGGAGGAAGGGAGTTGTAGGCGCAAAGAACAGGCATTTAAAGAGAGTAATTCCTTCGCAGGAAATAACGGGAAGGACAAAGAACCCCCGCGGCCGCTCTCCGCGCTCCACTCCCGAAGCGAAGCTTCATCTGGGCTGGGGATAGACCCCTAAGTCCCCTTCCCACGCACACGCAGGTCAGCCCCTCTGTAGCCCCACGTTCGGGTCTGGCGCTCCTTCAAGTCCGTGACAAGTTCGGACCCGTGCCTCTGCGACTCACCAGGCTCTGCGACCCAGGCCCTGTGCCCAGAAAGCGGGGCCACGCACTTGCTACACCGGGAGATGCACGGACCGTCCTGCTCTGCTCTCGGGCGAAGGAGAGGTGCGGCACCAGTTTGTGTTGCTGGGATGGCCGCAGCCCCTCTGGTTCCAATTTTCGGATAAATTCCCCAGGGAAGGGGAAACAAACAAAATATCCCTCTTCAGAAGCAAAAAAATTCAGGCAAAGACGCCCAACTCCACGTTGGATATTCTCTGAATAAAGAAGTTCTCCAGGATGCTCAGGGAGGTCCTTCCTCGAGAACATCCGATGTGGTGTATACCTTTTTGTCACTTTTGGAATGGAGCATGGAATCTTCTACTCTATTAGGATAGATTTTTACATCCCCCAACCCTCCAAAACACTCAGTTGATGTTTTCAAAGTTTTCAAACAGGAATAAATCTTCAGGAATGTGGAATCTGATTTTAAAAGTCTATTCTTTCACGTTAGGCTAAGAACACAAGTCAGCATTCAGACACAAACTCTTACACAAATGCTCCAAGCGATGTTTCCCTACATCTATTAGAGAATAAGGCTTAAGCTGTATGGGGCCACCCTGAACAGTGTCTACCCAGGAAGGAAGCCCTGGATTCTAGCTTTCCCTATGCCTGCACTTGAGAAACAGAAACAACACTCTTCACCCAAAATGTGACCTATTCGAGACTTATAAACATAAAGGGAAGAGAGAAAAATTGAAAATGAGAATTAGAAACCAGGAACTTTCTTCACTAAGAGAAAAGAGATGGGCAGCAGGAACCATTAATGTGGTTGAGTCCACTTCTGAAAACAAGTCCCCAGTTGACAGTTTTAAAAAGGAAAAGAGCTGAGGGTGGGTGGAGGGCAGGAAGGATGACCTCTCACCCCTAGTGCCCTGGTTTAGCCCAGACATTCAGAGCAGAGAGGAGGGGCCAAGACCTTTCCCCTCACCCTCCCACTCAGTGATCAACAAACGCCCAAGGCCAAGGACCTGACATGGATAATGGCCCCAAGCAAAGCTGTTCAATTGTAAACCCTGCCAAAGGCAGAAAGAACCATTCTGTTAATGGGCTGAGGTGATAGAGACACTGGTGCCAGTAGAGCCCATCCCTTTGGGGTTCTTATTCTGAACTGGTTTGAAGTAGTGCTCCTAGTTCGGATCTCCCCCACCTCCCCCAAAGTATGCCAAGCATTTAGGAGAAGCAAACATTTGGTGATGTGAAGTCTTCAATTTCAGGTGTCCTTTTTCCTCCTCTCACCTCTGCTCCCCACTAGTTCAGGTCTGCTAACTGTGCTCAGAATTGTTCAGTTTTCTTGGATCACTTTAATTATGGCCAGACAATTGCCAGAAAGGTGGTTGATCTAAGCAAAAATGGTCATAAGGGGCAATGGTGTCTGATGTGCGCATTTGTGTAGTGTTTGTGTGTATCATGCATGGGTGTATATGAATGTGTGCGTGTGTATGAGAGAGAGAGAGAGAGAGAGAGAGAGAGAGAGAGAGAGAGAGAGAGAACACAACAATTGGTGATGGTCAAATAGGAGAGTAATTTTCACCATCCTCCTTCCCCCCTTTTGCTTCCTCCTTGTACCTTTCTTGAAGGTTCCACTCACTTAGCAAGATACTTCCAAAAAGATTTCTTAAGGGAGATGTAAAGATACTGAGAGTGGGTTGGGACAAGGAAAAGACAAGGCAGGGAGAGAGGGAGGAGAGCTGTGGGGGCAGGAGCTCAAGCCCAGACTTCAGGATGTTAGAGGGGAGAATGACACTTTCAACAGAACCTATTTGCTGGAGGAAATTGGGTTTAAAGGAGCAATCACTCCTTTAAAAGGAGCTCCTCCCATCTTCTCCAAACACAGCCGAAAGCTGTCCTAGACAATGAATGCGGCTCAGTGCATCAAAGCAATTGTTCCTATTTTCATTATTCACAGGGAATCTTTGAATGTACCTGTTAAGGTGACAGACCTTTTAAAAGGGAACATTTTTTCCATGCAATTAATTGGTGCATTTACTAGGCTTCTATTAACATAATTTAATATAAATCTATTTTATAAATCTTTAGGCTTACATTACTGAAAATTGAGCTCTTAAAAAAATGCCCACAGTGCTTCCCGAAATTAGATGAAATAGAATCCAAAAACTTGATATTCTGAACCAGCTGGAAATATGAAAGGTAGAAGAATCTTTTGTATTGTCTTTTGTTAATGGTGGAGATGGGAAGAAAAGAGGCAGCTTGTCTTACAGAAGATGAGAAATTCCAGAGGACCAAGGGCTCCTACACCCCAGATCCTGGCACTTGGAGTGAGTTACACAGGCTTTAAGTTCCTTAAATAGATCTCTTAGGAACAGAGTTGAATCAGAACTCAGATAAAAAAAAAAAAAAAAACCAAACTAAAAAGCAACAGTCTAACTTCCAAAGAAATTTATATACAAGTTTATTCTGTCTCAGGAAAGAAAAAAAATCAAAGCTGTGAGAGAGACCTTACAGTCCCTAACAGTCCCTAATGGTACTTCACGTGGAAACAGATATTCTTTTCTGTTCCTGTAGCCAGCCTCCTTATGTTCAAGTGCATCCTCCAAAATCCTGGGCATCCCATTATCTCTAAAAAATAGGGTTTTATGCTCTCT